AATATTTTCTCTGAATACGAGACGATTCAGTTTTTTACGGGACGGTTGGAAACTCTAATAACTAACCTTATAAATAAAATAAGATAAAACAAGTTCAACATCAATAACATCATAGCACCCGCCCAGCAGTATATAAAATCTGTCATGCTAGCTAGTACGCAGTACGAGTTATTGTAACTGACTGTAAAAAGTCAGCATAACGAAAATAAACTCCACCTAAACTTGGTTTATATCTGACCCAGATAGACTGCAGGTCATAACTTCTTACCTGAAGATCAGTTCACCACCTTGGGTCTCTGCTCCTCCTGCCTTTCCGTCATCCACAGGCTGAGGGGGCGTTGTGGCAGCAATTTTTCACACCAGCCTATTAATCAACCAAAGACCAAGACAGTCTTATTTGTTATAATCTATTGTCCACCTGGGCCTTACACAGAGTTTCTGTCTGATTTCTCAGACTTTTTATTTGATTTATTGCTCAGCTCAGATAACATCCTTATAAAATATTATGTAGCAGAAAAGATTAACTTAACTCAAATTATATAAAGCACATAAACATTTACAGCAATATGATGCAACAAACACAGCAGTACTACGAATGCTGATACATACTTTAAGTTTCTGAATATTAAACGTGTTACTGCCTTTCATAGTGTTTAAATTGAAGGCCCCGAGTTCTTTCTCCCACACTGAAAACACTTGAATGTAGGGCTGTATGATATGCCCAAAATCTCATATCCTAATAACTACATATATCAGAAAATAGTGCATTTTCTGTAAATTCTGTGAATCTCGGGCAACTCGTGTGTGAAGTGTTTTCAGGTGGGCTTCATGTACCTGGAGTCGAGTGTTTTGACTGATGCATGAAACGATACTTTTTTTTTTAAGACACAAGATGCAACGACCCCATTTTCTTTCTGAGTATTTCTTACACGGCATGCTGCGGGGAAAAGCCTGTTCTGACGTTTGAGTCTGAGGTTGATTTGGAGCACCTGAAGGCTCTTTGTTGCTTCTTATACATAAACTCTCTCCAGAGTCTCCTTTCCTGGTTTATGTATGGGCACCACCACAGCCTCCTTCCAGCAGTTTCCTGCCCTCCCAAACTCTGTTATATAACTCTGACAAAAGATCTTTAGCTGACTCGCTGAGCTGAGCTATCATGATGTAGCATACCTGATCTTTTACTGGTGCTGATAATCTGGATTTCCGAAGCACTCGATTCAATTCTGTCTTTCTAAAAGAGTATTTAATAAATCATCTGTATGTAACCCTGGTAAGATTTACAGCAATCAGAAGTACAGGGTTCTTTGAATGCATCGTAGTACTTGTTTGATAGTTTAATTTCCGGGCTTGCCCTGAAGGCACCATCTGCGGCTCCGTGCGCGTGAAGGTGTGGTGTAGAGGAAAAAGGACGGCAAGGAAAAACTCCATGCTGCCGCGGAGCACG